AAAAAAAAAAAAAAAAAAAAAAAAAAGGAAAAAAGTTAAGGTTCTTATTTGGAGCCTGGTAGGTTTGACAATTTCTTATCTATTTATTCGAGGCTTTTAACTTCGTACTTTAGAAATACAACTAGGCATGGCATATTGGCATTAACAATATGTCCATAGGCATTTTTAGGCCGGATTATGTTAATTGCTTTCAATTAGAATTATGTGTAAATAAATAAAAAAATATTTAAAATATATGCACTTAATATGATAATAAGATCATCATCAATTTGAATTCACTGCTACTACTCAGTTAACCATTTTTTACTTGTTATAGTAATAATTTCTAACCTACAAGAAAGCATTATAATAGATTTTAACCACTTGTAATCACATTTGGTTTATCATTAAACCAAACACTATATAAGAAAAAATGATGTAACATACGCCAACAATATTGGAAAAATCGTTTTACCAGATTGAAACCAATTAATTCATGTAATGGTTTATTGATCGTATATCTAACTTATACATGATGATATATATACACACAAATTCATTAAACAATCTATTGGATATATTTTGTAATATGGAGAGGTTCCTTGTCTCTTCTCATCATGTCTAAATTCTGATCAAACAAAGGATGAAAGAAATAGCACACAAATAACTCTTATTTTGCTATGCGCCTACATCCTATCACTACAAGAAAAAGTATTTGTAACAAGGGAATTCCTCACAATCCTGTCACAAATTCGATATTGCAAAAAAAAATGAAAGAGTAAATATGTCACATATTTGGTGAATTTCGTCATAAAAACTGTCACAATTTTGTGACAGACCTATCCATCATAAATATTTCGTGGCAGAGTTTACTAAGAACTTTCACAATCTCTCTTAATTACCTTGGTATCCATTAATTTTTAACATCTAAAATGCTTTTGTTCCTAAAACTTCATTTACTAGCGAAGGAGCTAAATTGGTCTTTCCATTATTCCATTTCCTGCTTCCTAGTTATTACAACCTACAATTATTTTCTAAGCTTTCTTGAAATGCTTCTCCAGACATTTTTATCCTCTTTACCTTAACACAAAAACAATTAATGATCTCTACAATACAAATACATATATGCTAGTATATGTCATGATTTCAGTCAAGGTAATAGTTTTGTGTGTGTAGAGTAAAATCTAAGACAAGCAAAATTTGTTTAAAGTCCCAACGTAAAAGCCCAATCCCCTTATTAAATAGGAAAGCGCACCTTTTTGATTGATGTCAGCACTTGCAAATTATTTAATGTTTAGCCACAACTAAAAAGTAAAATAGGCGGATGTTGCTTCTTCTTCGTGTCCTAATTTTTAGTTTTCCAGTTCAAAATTTTAGGGCACGATGTCCTGAAGTTCGATTTTTTAATTTAAAACTTTAGGATCCTATGAATATATTGAAGTTTCATTTTTTTTGTACAAAATTTCAGGATAATGTGTTCTAAAGTTCAGCTTTTCAGTTTAAAACTTTGTGACATTGTGTCTTTTAAGTTTAGTTTTTCTAGTTTTAACTTTAGGGACATTATGTCCTAAGTTAAACTTTTCAGTTTAAAACTTCACGACATTGTGTCCTAAAGTTCAAACTGTGCAATTCAAATTTCATGCTTGTATGCGTTTATTCTGCAGAACAACTAAAGCTAACATTTCCAAGCCTTTGTTGTGACTGGAGAGGAGAAGTCCGAATGAGTTTTGGGTCTTTACGATAAGAGAGACAGCAAGAACTTTCATTGTTGAATGTGTATATGGATGGAGTTTGTATCAACTTTTTGAATTACTAGTGGCAGGTAATAAATATTTTAGGAAAAAAGTGTTATATATAGTGGAAAAAGAATTAAGGGATGTTAAAGAAGAAGACACAGTAAAAGAGAAGCAATATATAGAAGCAGCGAGAAAGAGAAGAAGAGAAGACAACTGCCTTTTTTATTGGCTGGCTATGCTTTAAATACAAACCCTGGTTGAAACTTAAATAGAAGCCCAAATATTGGCTATCCCTGTAACAGAAAGTGAATTCGCCCAGCAGCCCAAAATATAGTGGACTTGTAGGTAAAAGTGAAGCCATTTCGAGGGGATAAAATTCACAAATAGCCACTTTTTAGTCCATGTAATTGAAAAATAATCATCATTGAAAACTCTATAACACAGGGTATCTTTCAATTATAATGCTGAAAAGTGGCTACCCAGTATTGTGTAGTAATCAGCAAAAAACGTTTGGTTGGGAAAATTCCTCTCATTTTCGATTCGGCGTAACGAGCCAAATCCAACAGGACATAACTCTGTTAACCAGTGTTGAATTTGAATTTGCCAGACCAAAATCTTTCTTCCTGATCATATAAAATTTAACATGATGTTAGAATTGTGAAAGTTTGCTAATTTTTTTCTCCTTCCAATTGTGGAAGACTTATGATGATATCACCTTAAAAAATAAGCCAAGTGTTAGAACTTTGAGACGTATAAATTTAACACATGATATGATAGCAGTAGTCCATGTTATGCCCATAGACATAAATTTGAATAGACAAAGTATATTGAATTGAGTATGGAGCACATTCAAAATCTACAACAATCAAACATGTACTCTTCCAATAACACTAAGCATATCCATATCAAAGTTACCTGAAATGACATATTCAAGAGAACAGTTAATATCTAAATCAAATTGGAGTCGAGTTGAAGACAAGTTCTTCTTCTTTTTCTATTACGGTCATTTTTGGGTCAGCATGCGAGCACCCGACTATTCCATCGATTCTTGACCTCCCACTAGCAGAAGTATCGGCTAAAACTGCCACCAAAACTTAAACGGATGGTAAGAAATCACCTAGCATCTTTTGTCTTTGTTGGAATTTGAACCTTGGTCTATCATGGTTTTCACCTACCGATAAGCAACATTCTTGGGTGCATGATCTTTAGATATCATTATCAGAACAATGCTGGAAACCAAAAAATCAACATTTGCTGGATGCTGTAATCCTGTATGTTAAACACTATAAGTACTGAACTTTCAAGTATGACTAGTCTTTTTTACACAAATTTAAGAACCCGCAAGTGGATAACTGAACGTGATACAATGAGGGATCAGAGACTACATAATTCTATACAACATTCCAAGACCCATTATGACAAACAGGTCAATCAAGTACTTTCATAATGTAACACTTAGACAGGGAAAAAAAGAGGAAATATGAAGGCCCCATACAACATTCTCAGGCTTCCAAAGCAGCAGATTCATACCTACATATCTTTGGATTTTTTCTTTCACATCCCTTCTTTCTTGATTAATACTTTAGTATCCATCTTCGGCCACAAACTTGAATACCACCACTTTCTACACAGGTATATCCAGATTCCCGGCAGTGCTTCTTCTTCCATGGAAAATTATATGCATAGTAATATTGATAACAAGTTATTATCAACAGATAAACTGACCAGGTGCACTCTACACCAATAAACATCTGATTAAAGATCTATCCATTCTGATCTCTGCAAAACCTTGAAATTTAATAGGCTGTAAAAGATACATGGAAGAGATCCGTGTCTCAAATGCTCATTTCCATCTAAGTTCACGAAATATCATCGACAGATGTAATTTCTTTGGAACCTTCTCTCCTTCCAACTGTGTAACAACCATACACGGAGCCAGTATCAAGGGAACTGATAATTCCACACTTCAAAAGAGAAAAGCTAGTTTTGAATTTTGAGACGCATAAATATACAAATATATAATAGCAATAGTCCACGGTTGAAACACATTATTATGACAACAGAAAAGAGATTTGAACTTCAATAGAGAAAGCACTTATATAGAGCTGAACGGACATTTTAAAAGAAAGAACCAACTGACTACTAGATATTGAGTTAAATGAGACAGCTAGCTTTCAACAGACTTGGAACACATAAAAACCGAAAATTTACAAGACTTGATCTTATACATAAAGGTCTTAATTTTTAGAACTAGGCGGAGAGGATAAAAGGTTAAGAAGAAAAGCCCCAGTTATTACCTAGTATTACACATCATTTTCTTTGAGTCCGGACACAAAGGGGAAAATAGCATAGGAAAAAATGAAAAACAGATAGCAGACAAAGGTACAGCTCATAGCATGCAGTCTCTTCTGGTAGGCAACCTTTCAAAGAAATTAAGTGGCATAGACGGAAGCTTGAAGCGTAACCACGGATGTCTCAATGTATAAAATCCAGTAAAGAGTACCAGAACTTGGAAAGGCGTGATATAGACTACAATGGCAGCAACCAAGCAGAAAATCACAAGCACGGCTGTCGCCCTAGGGTCACGCCAGCTCCGCAATGATAGCAGCCTCTCCCCTTGAGTAGCCCAGTCACCAACCACAGTCTGAATTCTCCCTGCAATCATTCTCAAGCGGTCATATCTCATACTAACAATACCCGATGAAAATGAAGTTGGAAAACTATCAAATTCCTCAGATAATTCATCTTTAAGAGCAGTATCAGCACAGGAAAGACTAGTATCTGTGAGTGAAGGATGCACTGGTCTCCATTTGTAGTTCCAAAGACTGATTACGGAGAGAGAGAGGAAAAAAGCAGGTAGAATAAGATTTGGATTTAGAACCAGTATGATGAACATGATATGGATCAGAAAAGTTGTTATGGGGTTTCTCCAATTACATATTTGATCAAATCTTTTTGCTACAGCCTCTAAAATACCCATAAGCCTGAAAATGTTAACCCTGCTTTTCCTTATACTCCAAAGGGAATACTCTTCATCAAACATATATTCCACTACCTCTTTTCCCAAAGATGGATCAGCACGACTCAGTCTCATTATAACTATTTGCTGGGCATGGTGCCTCAAGTCGTCAACCCGTTTTTGTGCTAAACGACGAAGATAGTGCATCTTGGGTAACAGTGGCTGAGAGTACATATATGTCATATTCAACGATGATGAGCAAATAAAACGCATAGTCAAGCAAATTTCACCCGTCTTCCTCAGCCCAGTAGTATCAAAGAGCATTAGTGGATAAGAATGTGTGTAGACTCGGCCTGTTTCAAGAGTGGAAAGACGGATCCTAACCTTTCCAATCCTCGAGTCCTTTGCACCTTCAGATTTATCTCCTCCTTGCGGTCGGCAATTATCAAATACACCTATAGTTATAACAGTGCAAGGGTCAAATACCTCCCAAGTGTAATGCTCATTCCACGTGGGAGAAAGGCTATCAGTAATAGTCCTAGTTCCGACCCACTTCTGCCCATATTTGGCGACACAATAGGCATCTGTAGTTTCCTGCCCGTCTTGTCTCTTCATTGGCTTGAGGCCCTGAGCATTCAAAATACCCAATTCAAGCACCCCAATACTGGACTTACACAATTGCTTTGCGGTTGGTCTAAGATCACTACTGTAACAGGTAGACTCGTCCAGAACATGGTAACCTCCCTCCAGACATATCCTCATCAGGATCTTGCTAGCAAACCCGACTTTCTTCTTCTTTTCACCATCAACTTTAACCTGCTTCTCAAGTTCATACCACTTACAGGTCACAGGTTTCTCATCCAACCTCATATCCACATATGACAAAGGAATCGCAAACCTCCCAAGAACCTCATCCTTGTTAGGTGAAACTTTATCTTCCACAGTAAGAATCAACAGCTGATCAAATGGTTCTGCTGCTACAAACATTAGATCCTCGTTCCAGAAGGGATTGATAGTCATCCCCGTGGAAACCTTTGTACAACATGTCTGAATTCCGAGGATGGCTTTTACGAAAACTTGCGGTAGCGGGATCCTATACATATCACTTGGAGTCAAGTCCTGGACCTCAATCACATTAACTCTCAGGTACCAGAGCTTTGGCAAGAGGTACACCTTAGATCTTACATTTGCAAGGACATCAGCACTACTAACAGCAAAAGCATCTGAATGCCAAGCTTCAGGAAATGTTTCATCTGCTGGAGCACCCATCCAAAGAGCCAACAGCAACTCCCCATTGACTTTAGACGACCCACTCCTATCCTTCAATCTATACCACTGAGGAACCAAGTTCTCTGGGGGAACCATTTTTGGGATCTCACAACATAAATCAAACATGAGGCGACCAACAAAATCATCGTTAGAAATATACTTATCCTTCACGGTCACCTCAAGTACAGAAGCCTGAATCCTATCTTGGGAGAAAGCAAACGTCTGGTTCCATTCAGGATTTGACGTCTTCTCAAAATGGCGGGTTTTATACGTATTGTCCCCTAGCCTAACCTCAACATAAGGATCGAGACTACCCGTAAGCTCATTCGTAGGTAAATCCCTAGCCTTCACCACCCGGACATAAAGATATTCCATTTGCTCAACCTAATATTCACTCCACCAAAGTTGGAGTTCCTCTCCTTGAGTGAAAAAGGATTTTTTTTTCTGGTCTTTAATACTACAATGATCAATAAGTAAAGCAGAAGAGGTCTCAGCAGAGACTGGAAGTAAATAATGAAGAGAGACAACTCAGTGCTATGTTAATGTTCACAAATCCAAACATGGACTTAGACAAGGCAGCCAATAACATGAAAAACAGCAAAATCTAATATTTGTCACTGGAAAAATTCAAGGGCTAAATAGAGGGAAAATAACCTCATAAATGATACTTAGAAAATAGCAGAACCATTCACCACTGTTGATCGGAATGCTTCAATCCTGCACAACATCAATAATGAAGAAAACCAAGTTCAGACACAAAAATTGGGCTCGTTATATCCACTTCAACTATCAAAATTTCAGTTTTTTCGAGGAATAGGGATGATATTGAACTTAATTTTGATTAAAAAATCTAAAATAATACTCCAAACTGAAAAAAATAATAATACTATCCTATAGTATTCTTTTGTCGAAACAAACCCCTGAAGTCCAGATAAGACTTTCATCCTTTTTTTGTTTTTCTTTACTTTTTCCTATTTTTCACTAGACCTTTTATTCCGGTACCCACATACAGAAGAACCGATTTAATACTGTTAAATTCTCAAAAAATATTTAATAAGAATAATTTAGTAAACTATATCTTGTATTTATTATTTTTTTAATGAACGTGTGAAAAAAGTTAACATAAGAGTTAAATTGGGACGAAAGGAGTAATAAATAAAGTAATAAACTAATTACTTCAGTATCACTCGACTGTCCTGGACAATGGATAAGGATGAAATGAACCGATTTAAGATATAACTGAAAATAATTTAAAAAAATTATTCTTGAATTCCTAAAGTAATAATTATTTTGCGATAAATTTTTTAGCTAAAGTGACAGTTAAAACGAAACAGAGGGAATATACAAGTATAAGTTTTTTTTTTAGCTAAAGCGACAGTTAAAATGAGACAGAGGAAGTATACAAGTACAAGTTTTAGAATAAAAAAAAGTAATTAACGCATCTTCTATTTTATTTTATAGCTTGACTTGGCATAAAATTTAATAAAAAGTAATGTTTTTAAAAATGTTATTTTAAATATGCTATGGCATTTTTATTGCTATAAAAATTTTGAAATTGTTATAACATTTGTACGGCTCTAAAACTTTCTCATTGAAAATATACATCCAAAGTTGCACTAACAATCTATCGATTTTTTATTTATATTAAAAAGATATTTTTATTTTATTTACTCAAGTAAGGAGTATTACTTTAGGTAAGAGACTTCTAAGTTTTATAATTTTATTTATTTCGTGTACTCTTATTGAGATAATGTTAATCAATTATATTCTTACTCCTGTTTTAAGGTAATTTTTGTTATTTCGAGAATTATTTATATGTGAAACTTATACACCCTAATCTAGTGAAAAAAATTTATTGGCCACCGCATTAATGCAAGATATATGCTTTTCACACACACATTTGTTCTAATACACATAATCAACTACAGTATTATGTATTCTTGCACGAAGCATGTTTATCTTCTCACAAGCATACATAAAATAGATATTGTACGGGTAAAATTATCCTCTCCACGTGGCATGATCGAAACAAGATCTAGAAATCAAGTGATGGGACCCGCTGCCAAGCACGGAAGATATATGAGATTATGGTCATCGAAGGGTCAAGTACTCGAAAGGTGGACGAATGAATTCGAAAACTCAGTCAATCTTATTCGTAGATTGTGGATATCAATGTTACGCCGAAATGGAAGCCATTATTGAGGATCTCACTCCCCACTACCTAATCCACTAGCGTACTGGCTCGAAATTTGAAAATGTAGTTCTCTTCCTACAGCTATAAAAGTCACCACAATACTCCAAGGAGGGATCATCGAAAATTAAAAGGAAAACTTTCTCCGGAGCAAAATATCAATTTGTGCTACCCTTTTCCAAAGTAAGCTTTGTAATTCAATCATACTCGCGATCGGAGATTGCTCGAGATTGGAAATAAAGATGAATTTTCTCCATTGCATCATTTTTTTAATCTATTTCGTTATTTCTTGTTTGTCTTTATTCATTATCTGCAACCGTTTTGAATCAAATAAATTGCTAGTGGCCCATAAAAATATAAATTTAATTATTTAATCTCAAAAAATAGTTTTTAGGTCAAGCAGTTTGGCGTCCACCGCGGGACCCTAACAATTTAAAGTTTGATTCACAGCCTCTGTTATGTTTATAGTCTCGTCTAACTTTACTTTTCCTATGTTTGTTGCAAGGACAACACCATGTCAGGAACCAATGAGCAATCCAATGTTCCCGTAATTGGACAAACGGTAACAATCTGAAGGAACCCGAACTTCGAATGATCAGTCTACCATATCTATGCCCCCTCGCGGACGAAATGAATCGCTAGCTAGATCCAATAGTGACTATCCTGATATCCGGGGGCTGGAGAAGAAAGTAGACAATTTCATGTCAAAATAGCAGAAGTTGAATGCTCAAATTGGACAAGCCTTGAAGGTATGGACGAGTGGGGCAACGATAATGATGCCAAACTCACCTCTGAGAATGGACGTTGATGATGGAATTCCCAACTCCAAAATGGTTCACACACCAACCTGAGAGCTTCCAGAAGAAGCCAGATCCGGCTCAGGTATGGCTTTAAATACTGAATTATAAGGCCCCGTAAAATTTTGCAAAAGAAAATAATATTTTGTGGCGCCGAATTGGTTTTATATAATGGCTCGGACATTTTGGGTTGAACAATGCACGGAAATGAAAAGAAAAATTTTTGGCGAAAAATTATAATTTTGCGGTCCATTATGCGACCGCAGAATCACTCTGCGGGCCGCATAATGGCTGCAGATGTGAGAAGGAGAAGGGCCAGTTTGGGGACAATTATGTGGTCGACTGTGCAACCGCATAACTGTTATGCGGTGCATTATACGATCGCATAACAGTTATGTGGACCGCATAGTGACCGCATACACAGACAGATTTTTGTTCATGTAATTTATGTAGACCCAAGGGGTTTGTGTTGAAAGATATACGTTCCGAGTAAGTTTGTGTTGAAAGATAAATGTTCAATAACTATCCTAATTGCTTTATTTATGTTATGTTGCCAATTGAGGATGTGTTCAAGTATGGGCTGTGCATTAATAATGTGTCGACTACAAGTCGAGTTCGAACAAAAGCTATTATGCTAAATTTTGTGAAATATCTTTATATGTCTTAGACTTTTAATTGCTCACATGTGTACTACACACCTTGATTTGAATTGTTGTTGTTCATTGATGATGATGATGATGTTTGAAAGTAAAAAGGTGAGCATGAAATACTAAATACGGCTAACATGCCAAGAATGATTTTACATCATGGCCATTAGTGCCAATGAAATGAAAATATGGGAAATGAGTATGAAATACGATGATTGATATAAAAGGGTTGATGTCTCGATTAAGACAGCCTAGCCGATCGGGTCGTGATCGGACACCATGCCGCACACATGGTGGTGATTGTGCTGGAAATTGCAATTGAAATGGTAATTGTGGTTGATGTCCCTAATGGATGGCCTAGCCGATCGGGTAGTGATCGGACTCCGTATTAAAGACAGTAGTATTAATATTGAGAGTGATTGTGGTTGATGTCCCTAATGGAGGGCTTAGTCGATCGGGTCATGATCGGACTCCGTATTAAAGACAGTAGTATTAATATTGAGAGTGATTGTGGTTGATGTCCCTAATGGAGGGCTTAGTCGATCGGGTCATGATCGGACTCCGTATTAAAGACGGTGGTATTGATATTGAGAGTGATTGTGGTTGATGCCCCTAATGGATGGCCTAGCCGATCGGGTCGTGATCGGACTCCGTGTTAAAGACGGTGGTATTGATATTGAGAGTGATTGTGGTGGATATCTCTAATGAGATAGCCTAGCCGATCGGGTCGTGATCGGACTCCGTGCTGAGAGTACGATAGTATTGGCATGGTGAATAATGGTATTGTGAACAATGGTATATCGATACTAAAAATCTCCCAATGTGAGATATGAAAATTAATTGGATCACTGTCTTGATCCTAAATTTAGGTTTGATGTTGATTAAGGCTTTCATTGATATTATGATAATATTGTTTGTGTTATTTGTCATTCTATTGAGAGGGTGTTTAGTTATACATAATAGTGCTATTCGACAGTACTAACGTCCCTTTTGCCGGGGGCGCTGCATCTTTAAATGGATGCAGGTGGTTCCACAGCAAGAGATATTAATCAGTGATAGCAGTACACCTTCTTCCCATATGACTTGGTGAGCCCCACTTCATCCCGGGGTCATGTATCTTTTTGTTCTTTATGTATTATGGTTGAGGTCTAGCCGGGGCCTTGTTGCCGGCATTACCATTGTACTCTTCTTTATCTATAGAGGCTCCGTAGATATAGTGTGGGTTGTGTATTGGTGCTGGAAAAAATAAAATATGTTATGTTGTGGTTGTATTACTTGTCCATTTGAGACTTTAAAAATGATGAAGCTATTGGAAATAAATTGGTATTGTAGACGTGAACACCATTTTTTCTAATTAATGAAAATATGTATTATCTCCATTCGTGGATGAGTTTGGGTAGAATGAAATCTAACAGGCTTGCTCGGTCGGGTTCACTCGGTTGAGCGTCAGTCGCGCTCCTCGGATTTGGGGCGTGACAAACTTGGTATCAAAGCCTAAGGTTTTAAAGTGTCCTAGGATATCTCGGAGCCGTGTCTAGTAGAGTCCTTATTATCGGTGTGTTGTCGACCACATCTATAATTAGGATGCTATATGGGCATTTAGGAAAAATACCCTTCTTTCATGTTCTTGATCGTGCAATAAAGCTGGTTGTAAGATTATTCCTCCTTAAACTCCTGAGTTGCTCTAATTTTCGGTACATGGCACCTAAGAACAAGGCAAGAACTGGCCAAAGAGCCAATGTCACCCCAGGAGTGACAGTTGATCGTATAATTGATGATGCGGGTGAGCACCCAAGGAGTGAGGATATTCCTCCAGTTACTACACTACCTGACTCTACTACAACTGATCAGACCGCATATGTCCCTACACCTGCTGAAGGTGCAACAATTCCTCCAACTGATATACCAGTTCCACCTCCAGTTCCAGCTTCCGATTCTGGTGTTTCTAATGTTGATCTTAGAGGAGCCATACAGATGTTGGCTCAAATAGTGGCTTCCCAGACCCAGAGGTCAAATGTTGCACCCACTTCTTCCAGTTAGCCAGGGGATTCTACTGGTTCCAGGGTGAACAAGTTTCTCAAGTTAGATCCTCCAGTGTTCACGGGTACTAACCCACAAGAAGATCCCCAGGATTTTATTGATGAGATGCACAAGACTCTCAGAGTTATGCGTGCTACTGAAATAGAGGCGGTGGAATTGGCCTCCTACCGCCTGAAAGAGGTGGTATATTCTTGGTTTGAACTATAGGAG